GCAGCTTCATTGCTGTTTTTCCCTCACTTCCCCTTATCGGCGACCAACATGGTCACCGCTCAGAGCACGAGTCTGCTCGTGTATTCCCAGTGAGTCTCAGTCTTGGAAGAGGGTTTGCCCTGAGGGGATCCAACCACTTGCCTTGACGTCTCCTGGGCGAACAACTTGCTTGTTCTTGTAGTAGTCCGTTGGACTGCCGTTATTGTTTTGTATTTTTCCTGTTGGTTTTTCTTTCAAGAATTTTCTTATGTTCTTCTAGACGCCCCAGGCTGGTCTGCTTGTCCTTTTAAGTGGAAATTTCCCACGCCAGAACATTCTGGATGGGGTTCAGGATTCCACCTATGGTCTTATTAATGCAGAGATTCCGCAGGAAGCCTCCTTCACTGGGCCCGTTGTAGCCCCATTTTAGGTATTCTAATCAGTTATAAGCAGAAGTGGACCACACTCTTAAGAACCAAAAAATGTTAAACAGAGGAGCTCTGGTGGTGCTATGGTTAAGTGCGTGACCACCAACCAGAAGGTCAGCGTTTTGAACCTAGCCAGACCTGGGGCTCTGCTCCCATAAAGATTACAGTCTATGAAACCCCATGGGATAGTTTCACATGGAAGTGACTCAACGGCACCCAATGCCATGTTAAATAGGGCCCACAAGGACTAGCACAGGTCTCCTTAGTATCTGTCATGGTTTGCCAGTCCCTGTGGGGGCAGCTTTAGAATAGAAAAATCCAGGCAGGTCCAGCGACCAAAAGGATTCATGCCAATGGGCAGAGTAGGTTGAAAGTAGTCTATGAAAGTTGTTATACATCTTGAAATCATTTAATGTGGGATGTATTTTATGAGCTAAAATCTTTCGATGAAATGGATACTTAAATAAAAATGAATTCTAAAATTTAAAAAAAAGCCAGCGCCAAGAACCCTGTCTTACCTTCCGATCTTTGGTGATGGCCCAGACCACGCTGACGCCCACTGAGATGTGCATGATCCCATTCTCAGCCACAGGGGGCTCCACAATGGTCCAGGAACTTCCTAGTTTAGAAGGAAACCCGGGTGGCCTCCATCAACTGGGAGGGTTGAGAGTGAGTGCTCCCTCTGCGTGTCCCAGTGCTGGGGCATGGGGTGCCCACCTTTGGGATTGTGTCTGCTGATACCTTCCCGAACTAGGGCCTGGCCCTCCCAGAGCGTGGCCCACAGGAGGTCGTGGGGCCCACAGCTGATCTGCACAGCCTCCCCCGGGGTGTCCACGAGGGACCAGGAGGAGCCCTCAGGGTTGGGGCGGCTGACATCCTCTCTGTACCACACCTGGAGGGAAAAGGAAGTAGCGTTTGCATGTGCACATGTACGTTCAGGGACTCTTGGGGCTCAGACACCCTGACCTCACCACCATCAGTACCGTGGCGAGAGCTTACATGACACCAGAACCAAAAAATGCAAACCATGGAATCCAGCTGTCCTAGGGCAGAGGCCAGGGTCCCTGGGTGTGCAATGGGTAAGCATTTGACTGTTAACTGAAAGGAGGCGGTTCAAATCCACTGGGTGTTCTACAGGAGAAAGGCCTAGGAATTTGTTTCCATAAAGCTGAGTACTAGACCAGAGAGGGAGAGGGGCTGTGTGTTGACGACAGGGGGCAGGCTTGTAGTGTATACCCTTTGGTTGGTTGATGATGCATGGAGGGGATTGTAACCATGGCAATGAAACGATATACAATAGGACCAACGTAAAGCTAATGTTCTCCCATGTAAATGATAACATAATTCACAATAAAAACTTATAAAAATAAATAAATAGAAAAGATGAGTACTAGAAACCTTAGGGCCAGTCTACTCGGTCACTTAGGGTCACTAGGAGTTGGTATCGACTCAAAGACACATAAACAGGGGAAAGGCCAGGAGTCCCCAGTTAAGCATCTGACTACTAGCCAATAGGTGAGTAGCTTGAACCCACTCAGAGGCATGTCAAAAGACTGATCTGGTGGCCTGTTTTGAACACCCTACAGAACAGCTCTACTTGGCTCACATGGGGTCACCACAAATCAGAACGGGCCCGCCAGCAACCAGCAACAGAGGACAGGTCGCAGTCAGCACTCAGAGTGGGCACTGCCTCAAACCTCCAGCCACCTGCCAGCTGCCCGCCCCCTAGTGCTGAGACATGCTCATAACATGGTCTCTAGGGGAACCTGGCTCTGGGAGTTTCAAAGAAAACCTCTTTAAGAAACATTTTAAATATCCACTTCCTTTTCTCCTTTACCCAAAGTGTGAGCACCGTCACATACAAGGGGGCTTTCAAACGTTGATGGAAATATGGAATGAAAAGAAAGTGGAATTTTCCATGTGCTTTTTGAAGCCCTATCTGTCTGAACTCAGATGTCCACACTGTTTGGTTGAGGTGGTCCGTCCCAGCAGGGCTGTCTTACCATCACTCTTCGAATCAACACTGCAGGAAAGCAGGTTCTTACCTTTCCCTGCAGAGACACAGCCCACACCGACAGGCGGCCCACGGGCTCATCTGTGATCTCCCACCCCCCCACGGAGAGGTCATTGAAGGGGTCAGGCAACTCCTTGGGGTCATCCTTTGACGGGATCTGAGACAAAAAGGTGAGGAGCAGTGGCCATTAGCACGCAGGCCAGGTACTTCTATCTTCCCCTCCTAGGAGCACCTGTACTAGGTAATTCCACTCTCCCTTCCTAGAGCGCCTAGACCAGGTAACCCCACCTGACCCACCTGGGGGCACCTGTACCAGGTAACCCCACCTTCTCCTCTTGGGGGCACCTTACCAGGTAACCTCACCTTCCACTCCTGGGGGTATCTGTACCAGGTAACTCCACCTTCTCCTCCTGGGGTTACCTGTGTTGGGTCCCCCACCTTCTCACCCTGGGGGCACCTAGACTAGGCACCCCTTCCCTCTCTTCTCGAGAGTACCTGTCCTCCCGTCCCTTGGCCCCTCCTCTCTGACAGCCATGAGGCTGCACTCTGGGAATGCATACACACACTTGAGCCCCAATCCTGGGTCCCTGTGACTGAGCACCACGAACCCCACCAGGCCGCAGGCTGGGGGCCCTGGGAGCCCTGGGAGCCCTGGGAGCCCTGGGGGCTAGCAGTTGACTTTACAGGTGAGCCCTTAGGCGGGCTGCTGGTGCCTGAGGCCTCTCTCCTGTGAGGCCACAGCGGGAATGGGGTCCAGGCCACTTGTCTCTAAACTTGGGAGTTTTTTTCTGGGTCACAGGAATAACACAAGAGCCAGAGTGTCCCCTTTCTTGGGAGCAAATACTCAGACAGAAGTCTCTATTGGGCACGGCCCTCAGACTCAGGTGAAGACATGTATTCACTGTCCTGGGGGCCCTGGACTGGAAGGTCAGCTGAGAGGGCAGGCTAGGAATGGGCCTGGAGGATGCTTCTGTGGGAACCTTCTGTCAGTGGATGCTGCACCCGCCCCAGCCCTCCACCCCCACCCCCGAGCCCCAGAGACCTTGGCCCAAGTGTCTCGGGACTTGTATCTCCTGTACCGGATCCACTTCCGCCGCCGTACACACGAGTTCCACTTCTTGTACTTGGTGTAGGTGGCCGGGAAGTCCATGGCGTATGTCCAGCCCTGGAACATCAAGGGGGGCTCAGGAGATTCAGGAGGAGCAAGATGGAGGGGCAGGTTCCCTCCCAGCAATCAGGGACTCTGAGGGAAGATGTGCCCACCCCCCCCCCCACCCCCACGCCGTCCCGTCCTGCCCCGCCCCTCAGTATCATGGACACCTACCCCTTTCTCAGTGGGCTCCCCTCCAAAGTTCTCATCCACGTACCAGTCCGACTCCCATTCCCAGTGTGGCGAGGGCAGTGCCACCCCCTCCAGCGGCTGGTGCTGGAGCCCACTCACGTCACTCCAAGGCCAGCGGTCACTGGGTAGAAGCTTCTCGCAGAAGCCGCCCACGGGGTTCCAGCGCTGGGGGGGGGCAGGCGGGAAGAGATGGGGCCTGAGGGTGGCAGCTGGTGCGGGGCCCACAAGTTTCAGAACAAAGACCACATACTGTAGGCATTACGAAGTCTATGTTGATAAACCAGTTGCCAACTCTGATTCATTAGTGACCCATGTGTGTTAGAGATGGGCTGTGCTTTATACGGTTTTCAATGGTTCTTTTGGAAGCAGGTCACTAGAACTTTCTTCTGAGATGCCTCTGGATGAATCCAAACCTCCAGCTAGCAGCTTTAACTGTTGCATCACCCAGGAATATATGTTATACTCTAAGTTGTTAAGTGCCGTGGAGTTGGTTCCAACTCACAGCGACCATGTAATAGGGTTTCTGAGGCTGTAAATCTTTTTTGGCAGCAGACAGCCTCATCTTTTTCTCATGGAGCAGATGGTGAATTTGAACTGCTGATCTAACGTTACTATACTAATTTACAAGGAGCCATGGTGGCATGGTGGTTAAGTGCTCAGCTGCTAAATAAAAGGTCAGCGGTTTAAACTCATTAGCTGTTCAATGGGAAAAAGATATAACAGTCAGGGTCCATAAAGAGTCTCACCCTTGGAAACCCAATAGGACAGTTCTACTCTGTCCTATAGGGTTGCTAGGAGACGTACAACAAAGGGTTTTAAAGGCCTCTGGTAGCATAGTGGTGACGAATTGAGCTGCTAACCTCAAGGTCAGCAGTTTGAAACTACTGGCTGTTCGGCAGGAACCATATACCACCATCTTACTACATTATAATGTTGTTGAGTGGGGTCCAGTAGGTTCTGAATCATAGCGAACCTGTATAGAGTTTCCAAGGAGCAGCTGGTGAGTTTGAACTGATGGCCTTGTGGTTCAAATCAACTTCAAGGTTGTGTTTATCCTATGGTGCCACACCAGTAGAACATAGTATAGTAAATATGTATTGCTGTTATTGTTGTTAAGTACCGTCAAGTCAGCTCCAACCCACAGAGACCCTATATAGGGTTTCCGAGGAGCGGCTGGTGAGTTTGAACCGCCGCCAACCATGCAGCTCAAACCAACTTTGCAGTCCAGCACATTAACCCACAGTGCCACACCAGGACTCCATGGATTGCTATAACATTTATAATATTATTTTTATATTACACTACAGTATTACTTGGGAGAAAAATTAAGCTTTCTTCTCCCATAAAAATTTACAGCCTCGGAAACCCTATACAGGGTCACTATAAGTGACTAGAACCAACTCCATGGTTTATAACCACCACCACACCACACTATTACTGGGGAGTGCGGTGGCTCCTTATGATAAGCACTGGATTAAGAACCCTAACAACCATGGTTTCTGTTCCCGAGAAGATTTAAAGCGTAGGAAACCCTTTACCGGGGCTCTGTCAGTTGGAACCAACTCGATGGCACTTAACAACAACAATAGTACTAAGAAGTTCTGGGTGAGCAATGGGTAAGTTACACATTAGGTTGCTAACCACAAGTTGCCAGTTCAAACCCATCAGCTGCCCACTGGGAGAAAGATGAGGCAGACTGAGCTGTACCATCTCAGAATTCCCATGGGGCACTGCTACTGTGTCCTATAAGGTCATTATGGATCAGAATCAATTAGACAGCAGCTTTTGTGGGGTTTTTTGTTTTGTTTTAATTTTAGCATATATACTCCTGGTATAAGGAGCTCTGGCAGCAGAGTGGTTACGAATCAGGCTGCTAACCTCAAGGTCGGCAGTTTGAAACTACCACCCGTTCTGTGGGAGAAAGATGAGGCTTTCTGCCCCTGTAAAGATTTACAGCCTCAGAGACCAACTCCACGGTAGTTAACAACAACAACTCCTGGTGTGGCACTGTTGGATCAGCTCTAGACTGCGAACCGCAAGGCCAGCAGTTCAAACCCACCAGCTAGCTGCTCCTCGGAAACTCTATACAGCGTCGCTATGAGTCGGAACCAACTCAACGGCACTTATCAACAACATAAAGTACAATAATAAAATGAATGCAGAAATTGGGGGCTTGATTTCCCTTCTATTTTGTCATTTTAAACATCAATTCAACAACTTAGCTCAGCATTCAGCCTGTGGCACTGGGCTTGGGGCTGGGTACTACCTGGTTCTCGTAGGCCTCCTCACGGCACCGGATGGGGACGTCGCTGGCGCACACGTACACGTAGACCTGGTTGTCAGCGGCAATCCCCCAGCAGCACTGTTGCATGGCGGCGCTAACCCGCTTGAATTCCAGCTTAGCATCCCGGCACGCTTCCCAGTACTGCCCAGCAGTGGACAGCGTGTACACACGCCCGAAGAGGTCCACTGCCCACAGCACCGAGGCAGGCATGGCAGCGGCGGTGGTGGGAGCTGAGGACAAACCTAGGGTCAGTGTCACAGTCAGCTCCTGGACCTCAATCTACAGGACATTAGAGACCTCACCTCACAAATGCAAAACCACAGAGAGGGATGAACGGCCAGTCACAGAACAGATGACAAGAAGAGCCTGGCTTCTAGTCCGTTGTCCCCCACCTCACTCAAGGCCATCCTGTCCTGGCCTATCCCCAATACCAGGTGCAGATAGGACAGCTGGGATCCACTTGGTTTCCACTGGTTGATGGTCTAAAGTAGATCACCAGGCCTTTCTTCATCATCTGTCTTAGTCTGGAAGTTCTGCTAAGACCCGTTCAATATACACGCCTCAACATGAACACACAGTGGCGGCTGCACATGAGGTGCACTGTGCAGGAGTTGAACCCGGGTCTCCCACACAAAAGGTAAGAATTCCACCCTCCTGCTCCCAGTCTAGGGCATTCCCTTTTTTCTCTTGACTTTTTCTTTCCTCTATTTATGAATATTTCAAACACATAAAAAATGAAACATTCAAGTCAAAACTTTATGATTCAGTCTCATTTCCAGGTCCCCAAGTGGCACAAAAGGAACCCTGGTGGCACAGTAGTTAAGTGCTCAGCTGCGAGCCACTAGCCCTTCTGTGGAGAACAGATGGGTCACTTTGCTTCCATGAAGATTTACAACCTTGGCAGCCAGAGGTGGCGGTTCTCCTCTGTCCTACGGGGTCACCAGGAGTCGGAACCAACTCAACTGCGGTCCATTGCGGCTTTTGGTTTTGACTTCTGGTTTACATTCGACTACAATCTAAAGGTTGGTGGTTCAAACCAACCCAGTGATGCAGCAGAAGAAAGGCCTGGCAAGGCCTGGCAATCTGCTGCCACAGAGATTACAGCCAAGAAAACCCTACCGAGCAGTCCTAGTCTGTGAATACATGGAGTTGCTATGAATTGGAATCAACCCGACAGCAATAGGTTTGTGGTTTGTGTGTGTGAGTCATACTTCCTTTAGATTTTTCTTCTTATAAAAAAACAAAAACAAAGGCGACAGGAGTGGTTGAATCCCAAAACAGTCTCCTGCCTTCTCCAGTTGGTGATGTCCTTCCCCAGGAATGGCCGCTGTGGCAGTCCTCACTAGGTTTGGTTAAGGGCAATTGCACAGGCCCCTGCCCTCAGACTGGCCAAGGACCACCTCCTCTCTCCCTCTTTGGGGATCTCCGCTCCTTTCTTCTATGTCTCTCTGCTGAGGGGGGGCCAAGGCTACTGCCAAGCTTGGCAACTGAGCAGCTCCACTCCCAAGGCTGACTGTAAGTCCTGGAGCCCTACTTTGTAGGAGGAACAGGCCTTGCACCATGGACAGCCCCCGGCAGCAAGCAAGGTACAAGGGCACAGTGGGCGAAATCACAAGTATGACGGGGCGGCTTCAAGATCGGACGGCAGCACCCAGTCCAAGTGCCAAGAACGATGCCAGAGCCTCCAAATCAAGGGTTCAGCCAGTCTGGTTGGGGAACTGAACTCCCAGGAGACAGGCAGAGTTTGGGCGCCTCTAGGTTGGGGCCACTCCTGTGGAGGTACACGGGATGTCAGAAAAGGGTACTGTGTGTAATGGTGACAGACAGCTGAGATTGACTGATAGTAATAGCTGCCAGAGACACCTCAGCTCTTCTGGAACAAAGTGTGTCTTGTAAACACAGGTAAGAAATGGAACGGGCTGAGGACAAAGTAAGTAAGGGATACAAGGAGGAGTCTGGCTTCTGCAAATGCCCAGAACATGAGAAGGAAAGAGTCAGCAGGAGGGAGGTAATCACCTCGGGATTTCTGGGAAAACCGGCCTCCACGTCCACTACCTGAATCAGGCTCTTTGAGGAGTTGTGGTGACCCTCAGGCCCCCCGTCTCTCCTCCCTAGTCAGCCCCGAGGGTCCACTCCACCCTTCTGCCATCTGCACAGTGCCTACCCGAGGATCCAGAGCCACCCTGGATGCAAACTGCCGAATTCTGATCCCTCCACCACCACTTTTCAGCATCACTGACCTCTTTATGCCTCAGTTTTTCCATCTGTCAAAGGCCCAAGTAGTATAATGGTTAAGCACTCAGCTGCTAACCAAAAGGTCGGCAGCTCTGTGAAATAAAGGCTTGGTGATCTGCTCCGATAAACATTAACACTAAGAGATACTTCTACTCTGCCACATAGGGTCACAAGGAGTCGGAATCTACTCACGGCACCTAACAATGACAAGAGGCAGAAAAGGAATGTATAGTTACTGTGGTCTAGACAGATATCCCTCTGGATATATTTACTGTGGCCTGGAACCAAACACATGCTCGAAGCCCAGCTCTCAATCAAATAACAGACAAGCCTATAAGACGATCAATTATACTAGGAAGGTGTGCATGCCTTAGATCCAAAGGGCAGCATGTGCCCAAGGAGAAAGCTCAGAAGGCAGGAAAGGGTAAGAAAAAAGGAGGGCTGAAAACAGGAAACAGGGAGGAAGTGGGGAGAGTGCTGTTCCATTGTGGGGACATAATTCATACCACAGAACAAAATGTCTACGAACTGCTGCTGAACGAAGAAACCAATTTGCTCTGTAAACTTTCACCCAAATCACAATTAAAGAAAAAAAAAAGAAATGCAGAGTTATCTGCTTATGTTAATGTTGAGAAAATTACATGAGATGATAGGAGTGGAGGGTAAGGGTCTGGGGGCAGGCAAGAGATTAGGAACTATAAGAATGAAAATAATGAGACTGTTGATACAGTGAGAATGTTAGCAATGTCACTGAAAGTGAGGAAACTTTGACAGCAGGAACCTGTTACACTGTGTACACTTTCACCAAAGAGACAAAAAAGGCATTAAAAAAAAGTAAGGTCATAATAACTAAAAAAACCCAAACCAGCTGTCATCAGTCTTTGTTTTTTTAAAGTTTTTATTGTGATTTGGGTGAAATCGGTTTTCCATTCAACAGTGCATAGCATCATGTTGACTTTGCCCTCCATGAGGTTTGGGGGCTGTGACTTTTTGACAACAGATTGCCAGGACTTTCTCCCGAGGTGCCTCTGGGTGAGTCTGAGACATCAACCTTCTCATTAGTTGTTGTTGAGTGCTGTCAAATCAGTTCCAACTCCATAGCGACCCTGTATAGGGTTTCCAAGGAGCATCCAGTAAGCTTGCACTGCCGACTGTACGGTTCAAACAGACTTTGCAGTTCAACAGCTAAGCACTTTAAACAGTTCATGCCACTGGGGGTGAGTACAGTAAAATGACAGCAGTAGAACTGAAGTAGTCACTGTAAATGCCTTTTAACTTGGCGGTATGTTTGCAAGGAGCCCTGATGGCGCAGCGGGCTAAGCACTGGGCTGCTAACCACAAGGTCGGTTTCCCTAAAGACTGACAGTTGCAGAAACATGCATGGGACCAGTTCTGCTCTGTTCTGTAGGATCGCTATGAGCCGGCACAGACTCGATGGCAGTGGTTGGGTTGGGTTGGGTTGGTTGGGGCCTGAAAATGTTCACCATAAAATATTCTGGGTAGAAAGGGTTCAAGTCAGGTTACTGTATTTGAAAATGTTAATTTCACATTAATAGAAACTAGTGTTCCTAGATAAGTCCTAGTTCAGAGTGAACTGTAGAACCAATTAGTCAAGTCAGGCTTAGAACTGCCAGTTGAGTTCAACAGATAGACTTGTACCTGGCAACACTTTCCTTAGGGGACAAAACTAAGCAATTATTTCCACAGAGACATCATTGAACTCCTGGGCAGCAAATGGAAGACTGCCACAGTGGACCTATGGACCGAGGCTATGTTTGCATACTCCCTCCAGAGCAGAGGCAGGGCAACCAGTTACTTCCCAGCTACAATTGGCCCAAAGTAAACATCCGTGATTAGTCCATTTCCTTCCCATCGCTGCCAAGTTTCTGCCACTTACCAGCTGTAAGCTGAGCAAGAAACATCTCCAGAGACATTGGTTCCTGGAGTGGAGGACCCTTGCGGGAGGGGTGGATGGGGTATTACAGCACTGAGCCCTAAGATGAGATGTGGAGATTCTAGGATTTCTTTCTTGTGGATGGAAAGAACATCATCGAAGTCAGCACCCTTCGACTCACCAAGAACATCTACAAGATAAACCTTCATTCCACTCTGCACAATGTTAACCACATTCACACCATCCACAAACCCTTCAGAGATCACAAGATGCCCATGGGCAGGTGCGGGGTGGGGACTGGGCAGAGATGTGGCTGAGGGAGGGACTCAGTTCTGAGAACACACCTTCGGTCTTGACTTTCTGAGTAAGCCTTTGGCCTCTTTCCTGAAAGGGTTCATTGGTTTTTCTGTTACTGTAGCTGCCAGACTGTTCCCTGGCCACCAGGGTTGTATCATGGATTGAACTGTGTGCCCCTAAAATATGTGTCAACTTGGCTGGACCATGACTCTCAGTGGTTTGACAGTTATGTGATGAAGCAATCACCGCCCCCATGATGTGATCTGATGTGTTTACGGTGGGATACAACATTCAGGTCACAGCCCTGGTCAGATATAAGGGAAGTCTTCCAGGCCTGTGGTTTGCACTGCATTTAATAAGAGATAAAAGGAGAGTGAGAAAAAGAGGGCTTCAGTACCAAGAAAGAAGAGCAGGGGGTAGAGCGCATCCTTTGACCCAGAATCCCTACACTGAAAACCTCCTAGACTCGAGAAGATTGATACCAAGACACATGGAGTCACCAAGGGACACTGGACGCACACATACTGAAAGGAGACAGGACCTTCCCTCAGAGCCAACAGAGAAAGATTTTCCCTAGAGCTGGAGCTCTGAATTTGGACTTCTAGCATCCTAAACCGTGAGATGATAAATTCCAGTTTCTTAAAACCATCTACTGTGGTGTTCCTCCTATGGGAACACTAGATAACTAAGACAGAATTTGCAGGAGTGGGATGTTGCTCTAAAAGATACCTAAAATGTGTTAGTGGTTTTAGAACTGAGTAACGAGTAGAGGCTGGAAGAGTTT